GATTCTCCTCCAGAAAGAACATAACCTAGCAATCCTTTTTGGACTTCATATGTCCAGAAGTGTAATATAGTAAGTGTGTGTTATTGTAAGCCACTGAAGTTGTGGTAATTTGTTAATGGATTATTCAATAAGATTGATACTGGGACAGGTGCATAGTTACTAAAAAAAATAAAGCTGGATCCCTATTTCCTTTCACCAGAGTTATTTCAGATGGTCATAGATTTAAGTATTAAAAAAAAGAAAAACTGAAAGTATTAGAAGAAAATGTTTTTGTTTTTGACTGAGGAAAATACAAAACACAGACACAATAAGAGGTGGATAATAGTAACTCACACATAGTTGGTGGGTGCAACTTGGCAACATTTATCAAAATTAAACATGCCCATACACGTCAACCCAGCAATTGCATTTCCAGGAATTCATCTTAAAGAAACACTTTGTTGTACATACATACAAAGTTTTATGGTGAAAATGTTCTTTATGGCATTGTATGTGATAGCAGAGAACTGGAATGGCCTAAGTGCCAATTTATCAGACAAGATTAAATATACTATGGCACAGCCCTTAGAAAGATTGACATGTATCTATCTATTCTATTAGGGACATTTGTAAGTGAAATATAGTATGTATAGTATAATCCCTTTTGTGCAAGGATCTACACATCTGTAAGCTACATTTACCTTACAGATGCAGAGAAAATTCTAGAAGTATACACAAGCTGTTAATAGTGCTTATCTTTAGAGAGTGGGACTGGGAAGTCTTTGATTTTTAAAGTTTTACATTTTTCTATAGAGTCCTTGCTCCCAGGGTTTGCTGATTTGGGTCTTCTGCTGCTTTAGAAAGGAAAAAAGGAAGGAAAGATGGAAGAATTGCTGGCAAGTGAAGAGGAGAGGGCCATGTTGACAGAGTGACCAAATCTGGGCCAACTGCTTCAGAGATACATGCTATCTAATTTTAAAAAATAAGTAATAAAAAAACCCCTGGCGCCTGGGTGGCTCAGTTGGTTAGGCGACTGCCTTCGGCTCAGGTCATGATCCTGGAGTCCCGGAATCGAGTCCCGCGTCGGGCTCCCTGCTCCGCAGGGAGCCTGCTTCTCCCTCTGACCCTCCCCCCTCTCATGTGCTTGCTCTCTCTCATTCTCTCTGTCTCAGATAAATAAATAAAATCTTTGAAAAAAAAAAAAAACAACCCACATATTTAAAGTAGCTTCATGATTAAAAGAAGCCCAAGCCACAGGATTCTGAACTTGTTGGAAAAATGTGTGACACTTCTTTAAAGGTTTAAACTCTAGAAATTGTTTTGTTTTGCTTAAAGTTATCCCTGAAAATCCCAGATAGGTAAAAAGATGAAATTCTCCCTTTGCCCCTTTGTGGTCAATCTAAGGCAGATTGGTATCCAGTTAAGGTCACATGTCAGAGACTAGGTATTTGAAAGCCTGTGTGCCTTGTATGTTCTACCTCATCAGTTTAGGCAACAAAATCAAATCATTTCGAGTCACATGTTTTATTTTTTGTTTTAAGATTCTATTTGTTCATCAGAGAGAGAGAGAGAGCATGAGCAGAGGGAGGGGCGAGGGAGAAGCAGGCTCCCCGCTGAGCAAGGAGCCTGATAGGGGACTCCATCCCAAGACCCCAGGATCACGACCTGAGCCCAAGGCCAGGTCTGAGCAACTGAGCCACCCAGGCGTCCCCAAGTCACGTGTTTTTTAATGTTAAAATTCACGGTACTCTGAGGTCTACCCAGCAAGCTGAGTCCAGGTTTCCCTTGGGGTTCTCCCTGGGTATCTCCATTGATGTAAGGGTCACTCATTTCTTCCAAAGGGATCCTCCCAAGTTGCTAATGGCAGGGCCAGTCAGCCACAGTGCCTGGTCAAACCTCATTCTCTGTTGCATTGTGGCTGCCAGAGGTCACTGCCAAGGCCCAAGCAGCATGGCTTGGCTGCACAGGCTAGAACAAATGCCTATTCCTTCTTGGCTGTGGCTACCCAGGGTTAGAAGAGGTCCTAATGTTAACCACACAGTGCAAAAAGGCCAGTCCTCTCCTGCCAACACCCTCCAAGCATGGACACAACCCTTGCTCTTACTCTCCCGAAGTACAGCCAAGGGCAGGCTGCAGACAAAGGAAAAAAAATCACAGTCAATAGCAGTGTCTGCCAATACCTAGCAATGTTTGGGGCCATTTTTTTAATTTTTATTTTTGGAGGGGCTACTTTTTAAATGAAAAGAAAAATCTTGTTAACTCTCAAATGTAAAATTAAATTATTTAAATCATGTTTTTAATCATGTGTAAACACAAGATTAGGCATAAAGTCCTTATTCTCACAGCTTTTCTACACTTACAAATTAAAACAATTTTGCAAATTAAACTAACAAAATTAAAAATTCAATTAATATTATGCATGTAATGTAGTAGATGACATTGTTTTGCTGAAATTAAAGTGTCCCTTGTGATGAGAATACGGAACTCATTTCTATGGTATGGGTTTTTAAGGGCATGCTTATAATCAACTTAATTATCCGACATTCTTTTCTGTTTGAATTTCTGTGAAACTTTTGTACGGTGTGCCATGCGGATGCTTGATATTCACTTAGCCAGAATGCTGTCATTTCCACAAGAAGTATTCTATTTTTTTCCTCATTTGCCCAAGAAAATTAAAGTTACAGTCCTTGGTGCCAAATACAAAATCAAGTGGCAGTGTTTGGTTACAAGGTGGTCATCAAAATGATCTAGAATAGGCATATATTAGTTTTGAAAGATTATAATTTAAAGAAGAGCAAAAATGTATATATTTTTGTAGTTAATTTGCAGTATATATGATTCCATTTATATGAAACGTCCAGAGTAGGCAAATCTATAAAGACAAAAAGTAAGTTAGTGGTTGTCGGTTGGGGGAGGCGGGAGTGGAGAGTGACTGCTAATGGGTAGGAGAGTGTTTTGGGGTAATGATGTTCTAGAAGTAGATAGTGGTGATGACTGCACAACTTTGCAAATATACTAAAAAAGCACTTAACTGTACACTTTAAAAGGATGAATTTTATGGTATGTGAATTATATATCAATTTTTTTTTTGGTCGTTGGGAGTGTTTATCTGCCCCTCCCCCCAGATAAATGATAGCCGTGAGATTTTTTTATGAATTTCTAAAAAGTGACTTCATAGTTTTCCTAAAGAATAGTAGATGGATATGAGGCTTACATTTGTTTATCTAAAGGGCTCATCCTGTGCAGTTTCCCAAACAAAGGGTGTCCCCTCCAGCCTCTCCGATGTTGAGACTCCAGCTGTACTTATATTACAAGTCAGATACAAAGACGATTGCCCTCAACCGTTTACCAGGTAGTAGTGGCAATAAGATCCACACAGGGCTAAGTATCGTATATATTAAAAAAAAAAAGAAAAGAAAAAGAAAAAAAGGAGGTATATAAACCAAGAACTATAAATGTCGAAGGAGGAAGGAATTCTTTCTTATGGTGGAAGTACCACATGATCTTTGGTTGGAGGATGATTGGAGGTTGATAGGTGGAGATGGAGTGAAGAGCATTTTATTAGGGGAAATAGTATGAACAAAGGTATGGAAAAATGGAGAGCTAGAAGCCAGAAAGCATATTAGGGAAGGATGAAGGAGTACTCGCTGGAACTAAGCTCTGGGAAGGAAAGTAATCCAAAGAGGTAAAGCAGGAAAAATAGGGACTGACAAGCTGTCTTTTTTTTTTTTTAAGATTTTATTTATTTATTTGAGAGAGAGAATGAGATAGAGAGAGCATGAGAGGGAGGAGGGTCAGAGGGAGAAGCAGACCCCCTGCTGAGCAGGGAGCCCGATGCGGGACTCGATTCCGGGACTCCAGGATCATGACCTGAGCCGAAGGCAGTCGCTTAACCAACTGAGCCACCCAGGCGCCCAAGCCATCTTTTTAAAATGGAAAAATTGAGCGAAGGAGAAGGGAGTCAGTAGAAATCTCTGCCTTTCACAGATTTGTATAAATTTGCAAGATTTCACCTTGTAAAAACCAGCCATGATTAATTAAATAGGCATTTTGTTGGCTTGGAGAAAAAGTGATACTTGTATTAATTCGGCCCTGGTGGGGTACTGAAGCTAAGAGCAAGGAAGAGCAAGAAGGGACCAGGCTACAGGAGCGGGCACTGATAAAAAGGATTGCAAAAAGAGGTGTGCCTGTCCCCAAATCCCTCCTCCCATCATTTAAGCTGAGATCACCCAGCCCGTAGGCATCAGTCTTATCACAATGAGTTTGTATCATCAGTAAAATATGAATGCACCTGGCTAAAAACCCTGGCGTGACAACACCAAATTCATATGCATTATTAGAATGAATTCATTCAATTTTTTAAAAGCACACCATTCTTGGCACACAGAAGGCACCCAGACGTTTGTTTTATAAAATAACATTGTTCTTTGTTTTAGTGTCTATATTTAGAAGAGGAAATGATTCAAAACTGCATCCTAAAACCTGTATCCTCTATTAGCATTGAGGTTGGGACGCCTTGGGGCCAAGAGGTCTGGTTTTCCCCTTTAAAACATAGGTTTCGGCCCCTCCGTCGAGTCCCTTAGGTCAGTAGGTCCAGCAGGGGTCGCAGTTCAAGTAACCAATCGAGGCTGGGCCATGGGGCGGGGCCACAGCGCTCCGCCCCTCCTCCCAGCCCTCCCTTCCCAACCTACCCAGGTCCGGCCTCCATCGCACCTGCGTGTCCCCCCGCGCCCGCGCTGGTGCAACCTTTCCAGCCGGCGCTAGCGGGGAAGATTTTGGGCTCGCCTCTCGCGAGATCGCCTCCAGTTGCGGCCACCAACGCTCCTGGCCGCTGAGTGGCGGCGTCTGCGCAGCCGCCATGTTCGGTTGCTATGCTGTGGCCTGGGAGACGGGGTGTGCTTGAGGGAGGAGGAGGAGACGGAGGAGGAGGAGACGGAGGAGGAGGAGGAGGAGGAAGAGGAGGAGGACAAGGAGTGGGTAGATTGAGCTCCTCTTGCTCTCACACACAAACGCTGCCCAGGATTACTCGCCTGCTCACGCCGCGCTGCGCGCTTTTCCGCTCCTCGCGGCCCCCCCACATTGTTCTCTCAGGACTCCTGGGTCCCCAGGGGCTGAATTCGGGGCCTGAGCCGGGGACAGGAGAGACTTGGCTTTGGCGGGAGGGTCGGAGGTTTGGGGCCAGGCCCCCCCGCCCAGGGGCTCCCCTCCCCCACGGCACTTTGGGGGGTGTGGATTATCTCATCCCCGCAGGGAGGTGGGAGAGCGCGCCGGCCGCCCGCCTCCCTCCCGCCTCCCCGGCGGCGCCGGCCCGCGGCAGCCCCGCAGTATGAGGTGGTGCTGGCGGCTCGGGGCCGTGGCGCGGCCGCTGCGGCGGCGGCTGCTGGGGGGGCGCTGAGGGAGCCCCCGGGAGCGGCGCGGCGGACGCGCTTCCCCGCGGCGCGCCCGGGCCTCGAGGCTTTTCTTCTCCAGCCGAGGGGACGCGGCTGTGCCACGAAGGTAAGAGGCTCTGGGGTCCCGGCCGGCCTCTCGGCCCTGCGCGGTGCGCGAGGCTGTTACCTGGGTGTGGGAGGCGAGCTAGGTAGGGCTAGTCGGAGGCACAAGGTTGATTGAAGAGAAGGAGGAAAATGATGCTTGTTCCCCCTCCCCCCGCCCCCCTTTCTTTCCGGGACCTCAGCTCTCGCAGCTCCTGGGGCTTATAGCTGGAATATGTTATGGGTGAGCGAAGGGAGAAGGGATGGAATCGGTGCGGAGATGGAATGTTCCACAGGACCTAAACTCTAGGTACGATTTTAGAATCTTCTGAGTTTTCCATTGTTGATAGGATTCCTTTTTTTCTTTTTTCTTTTTCTTTTTTTAATTGGCTCATATGAGTGCTTCTTGCATATGCTGCCTGGGCTGATTGTCCGTTCCATTGAAGTTTTAAGCTTCTTATGATTCTACCGGTATATACTGTAGTTGGGCCAAAAAAAGTTGAGATGTAGCTAAGTAGACGTACCGATGCATTTGCCAGCGTTTCCTTAAAATGGAACAGTTTACAAATGCACAGGTATATGTATCGGTGTTTCTGCGAAATTTGGAATGGGAGGCTTTTATATCTAGGGTTGCCTGATACAGTGACACCGCTATGGACAAGAACGATTTTGTAGTATTTTCAAGCGCTTGTTCCAGGGGAACCTGTATATCTGCAATATACCAACTGCTTTTAAATCAGAGTTGGAGTAATATTGGGTTTATGTGACCAAATCTTGGGTCTGGTTGAAACAGTACAGCTTAACACATGTTTATGGAGGAAAAAAAAAACCCAAAAAACCCAAAAGCCAATATATCCGACTTGTAAAAGAGGATTTGAGTAAAAAGACTATGGAACAGTAAAAGCCCGGATATTTTTTCATCCTGGTTTTCGAACCTTAACTTGCCAGAGAGAACAATTATTTTTCATTTTTTTAAGGGAGGAGGAACTGACCTTAAAATAAATGGTGGTTCAGAGTCCAAAGTGTGCTTATTGGAATAGAGCTAGATATATCGGTTAGGTCTTGTATTTGATGAATATAAATTCACCCTATAGATTTTTTTTCAAAAGAGATTTTTCGTAAGCAAAAGTTTGTATAGAACTTCTTTACTGACTCACAATAAGAGTGCAATCTTTTGTGGACCCCACCATTTTTTGTCAGAATAAATTTATGCTCCAATTACCACAGAAGCTATTTTTATGTCCATTTCTGTGTTTTGTTTTACTATAATGACACACATATCTTTGTTACCGTTTTTCACTGACATACACACATGGTCCAATATCATGTTCCTTAGTGGTTTGGTTTAATAAGAAAAATATGGTTTTTTAGGACATGGAATATTTATGATTTAGCTAATCTGTTTTAAACATTTGGCAAGAGATTAAAAAAAAACACTAGGAGCCATCACTATTTTGTAGTTTTTATTAATAGTGAGTAGGTTAAAGTTTATTAAGTTAGAAAATCACATGTTACTGAAAAGTAGTAATGAAGAGGATGTGACTTTCTTATTGCCTGTTTCCTAATCTGCTTAGCTTTTGGGCTGTGGGTATTGAATTGTTTCAAACTCGTGGTTTTTTCTTATGTTCTGAGTATCTTTTAAAATGTCCCTACTAACTTGGTTACTTTAAATTTGTGACACCCAATTTCTAATTTAAGCTAGGCATAAAACCAGCATTGATTGAACACACTTGCTAAAAATACTTTCTGGGTCAGATGTACTTAGAATGCAGCCTCAGGAAAATTCATTTGACCTATTCTAATGTGACCAGTGTACACTTCATTATTATTGAAGGACTTTAAAAAATTATAGACTCTCACAAATTAGATTTCATCAGTTGAAGCATAGAAGCCTAACTTTTTTTAAACGTATACTTTATGTAGGATAGTAATGAAACTTTTTCTTTTTTTCTTTTTCATTTTTTAAAAAAATTATATGACCCCCTCCATAGAATATTGTTAATCTCTGATTTGTATATTCAAAATATTTTAGTTTTATCTAATAAAATTAGAGTTGTAAAGTGACAGTATAATATGCAGTGTTATCTCTTTAGCATTTATTTGACTCGTTCTGAACTCTTTAAGGGGGATGGTTTTTCATGTTTTTGAGTAAATTATCTTTAAGGACCAAGTAAGAGAATGCCAGATGAATTTCAAGGAGACATTGAGGGGACCGCCCTTTGGGAGTTAATATGGTCAGTTTTAAGCAACAAGAAAGTTTTAAAAATATTTAGAAGTCTTGTTTGGTGGATGTCTAAATGTGAATGTTAATTCTTTATGTTAGTTTTTAGGAGTGTAAAATTGGTGACCTCATGAGAAATGGCAGGTCTATTTAACTTGATGTGGCGAAACATGAGTTGTTGCTCCTACATAAAATTTAGTGTTGGCAGAAAATCACTGGCTATAAACTGAGTTGAATTTTGTTGTTTTTCTGTGTAATAGCATGCATCTTGTGAAGTTTTTTATGTTCTGTAGTCTAGATTTATTAAATTTGTCAGTTTACTAGATTAAGCTAGTAAAGATTGGTTTAACATTCTGGAAATCCTCTTTATTACTGTTTACCAGGAAAGTATCAGTAAGAGGAAAGTGTTATTTCTTCATTTAATATTCAATTAGTAGTACAGGTGGTGAGAAGGAACGTAATGTAGAAGTACTGTAGAATCTTCTTTATTGGTGCGGAAGTGCAGTATTGAGGGACAGTGTAATTTATTTCTTTTTCTTTGCATGATTAGTCAGTATAGTCATTATTTAAAATTAGATGGGAAATAAGAGGGGAAATTTATTACATTCTCTTCCACTTCACCAGAGGCATTTCCCCCTACCTTCATTCTTCCATTTCATTATTCCTAAGTAGCAACACTGGAAGAAAGATGCAAATTTTGAAAAAATTGGTAGGAACAGATTGAAAATTAGGTACTGTGGATTATCTTGAGGGGAAGATATTCATTGGGGTGTTCTTGTGTTTGTATCTTTTAATAAAGATGTTATATAGAGGAATCGAAATAAAAAAAGTATCCAAAGGAAAGTGTTAATTGTTATGTGCCGGACAATGTAAAGGGGCTTTTCATGTTATCCCACATAATCATTAAGTACACTTTGTGAGGTAGGTATTATTTATTCCCTGCTTCCTCCCCCCCCCCCAAATGGGGTCAAAGAGAAATTAACTAGTCTAGGATCACACTGTGAATAAGTAGAATTAAAACTAGGTCTGTCTGACTCTGAAGCTTATTCTGTAGATTATGCTGTCCAATTAAACTTTCTACAGTGATGGAAATACTCTTTTTCTGCACTGTCAGGTATGGTAGCCATTAATCATGTGTGGCATGGATCACTTGAATGTGACTATCGTGCCTGAGGAACTGAATTTAAAATTGTATGTAATTTTTTTTTTTTTAAGATTTTATTTATTTATTTGAAAAGAGAGAAAGGGAGAGCAAGAGCAGGAACACAAGAAGGGGGAGAGGGAGAAGCAGGCTTCCCGCGGAGCAGGGAGCCCGATGTGGGGCTCAATCCCAGGACCCTGGGATCATGACCTGAGCCGAAGGCAGATACTTAATGACTGAGCCACCCAGGCGCCCCTAATTTTTTTTTTTTTAAGGTTTTTATTTTTAGATTTATTTGACAGAGACACAGCAAGAGAGGGAACACAAGCAGGGGGAGTGGAAGAGGGAGAAGCAGGCTTTCCACTGAGCAGAGAGCCCGATGCAGGGCTTGATCCCAGGAGTCTGGGATCATGACCTGAAGCCGAAGGCAGACGCTTAATGACTGAGCCACCCCGGTGCCCCTAAAATTGTATTTAATTTTAACCAGTTTAAATTTAAATAACCAGGTGTTGCTAGTAGCTATAATATTGGGGAGCACAGCTTTAGATCTTGCTGTGTAGAAAATCTGAGTTTTAGTATTGAATCTTCCACAAGTTTAGGCAAATTATTTAGTTCTTGAGCCTCAATTTAATCCATTGTGAAAATGAAGAGGTTGTCACTCTAAGATTATCTCCAGCGTCCCTTCTTGCTCTAGAGTTCTGGGATTCTTATTAAAATGTACAGTGGTATTTAGTATTCGAAATATTAAAATTCGAAAATATTAAAATACAGTGGTATTTACTATATCTGAAAGATCTGAAAGGGCCCCTCTTCCCAAAATACTCACCCCTTATGTAAATGTTTTTGTTTATTCAGTTTTCTTTTCCAGAAGAGTGTGTGTTTTTTGTTTTTTTTTTAAAGATTTTATTTATTTATTTGAGAGAGAAAGAGAATGAGAGACAGAGAGAGCATGAGAGGGGGGAGGGTGAGAGGGAGAAGCAGACCCCCCGCTGAGCAAGGGAGCCCGATGCGGGACTCGATCCAGGGACTCCAGGATCATGACCTGAGCCAAAGGCAGTCGCTTAACCAACTGAGCCACCCAGGCGCCCCAGAAGAGTGTGTTTTTAAAGCACACATAAAGGAAGATGGAATATTCCCCCCGCCCCCATTATTGAACATTGTTTAACCAAAGACAGTACTTTATCTTGAAACAAAGTTTGAATGTTTAAAGACCATATTTCAGCATGCTTCCCATTTAAGAATGTGTCTATTACAATTCCCTGTTACTTATCAAATTAATTTCAAACTTAATCGGCTTGGCCTTGAAGGCTTTCTACCAACTTCATCTCACTAACCTTGTTTCTCATTCTTGCTTAAAAAGAAAATATTCTTGTTTTTTCCTCTGCCCTTGTTTCCTCAGTTTAAACATTCCTGTCTCTAGTCCCTGTGCTTCCTTAAGTCTTCCTCAAAATTCACCTTTTTATTCTGGAAAATGCTGCTTAATCCAGTTTATAAACATCAGTTTTTGAATCCTAGTAATAAGCACCCTGGGGTTAATATATGATTGTTCAAATATAGTTAGTTGAGTACATCCTTCTTAAGTTTTTACATGTTACCTATTCTGTGTCCTTAATAAAAATTTTTAAAAATTTAAAATGGGAGTTCTTTTTTATTGCCACAGGAGTTCAGTTCATTGCTCAGCAATTCTGCTTTAAAGAGTTGTTAATTTAAAGGAATGATACTAAAAATAAATAGAGGAATGATACTGTCACAACATTCACCCTTAATCACCACTCTAATAGATATTTTTGTTTCTTTCCAGGCAGTTGTCCATATTTTTATAAATATCGTTGTATGATGGAGATACAATTTTGAGTTTAACATATTGGAGACATTGTCTAGTAGAAGCATTGCAATGTGGGAAAAAGATGATAGATTTTGGAGTCACGTTGATGTAGTTTGGAATCTG